TCACAAGAGTTGTGCAAAAAATGACACTTATTTCAAATGAATTGTTCATTAAAATTTTGCGTCGGGGCGCTGCCCCTAATAACCCCGGATAACTCTGGGTAGTGTGATCAATCTCTGAAATTTAATTTGACTTATTTAATTAAAATAATTTAAATGAATAATAATAATAATAAAGTATTTATTATTATTGTCTTGTGGTGATCAATTATGGCCTTAGATTCCTTTATTTTGTTTTTGGGATTTTAAAATACGACATGTGTGTCGTGCCTTTCTCTTAATCTCTCTATGTAACTTCTTTTCTCATCTCATTCCCTCGTATGTAAAATGAGTATTCTTTTAAGTAATATAATGTAATTAAGAAAAGTAAGAAGACAAGATTGAAGGAAGACAACCATGGAGATCTATCTTGGAGAAGTTTATATCGTTATTAGGTTAACTTATGTTCTCTCATTGGCTTGGGAGAACAATTGCCCTAGGGGCCATAACTGTAACTTTTTATATGTATGTTGATGCATGTGTTTGTATGTTGATGCATGTGAGAGACGATTTACATGTTAAGCCGGTGAGATCAAACTAATATCAAATTCCTTCAAAAGGAATATTAAGTTTATGCTTTCCAAGTTTTAGCACTCATCAAGACTAGTATCGAACAATGTAGGTTTCGCCTAACGCGAGGTGCATGTTCTATATTAGTAAGGTGCGATAGGATAAATGTAATATCCAATTGCCAAAACACTAGGTCAAACTTAACTAAGCAAATTATAATAAGATTATACATGTTTAGAAGCAAGAGTTAGGAATGATTCATCTGATGGATTAGAATAAGGAGTTATTCACCCAACTGAAAATATTTGAGAATTGTATGAGATACAATTGGAAGGAGTTCCTACCTAAATAACCTAGTTTTGTGTAATCAGCCTAACATTGACTTAAAACAAAGTGAAATATGGATCTCGACCCACTAGAAAATCTTCCAACGGAATTTTCCGAATCAAATGATGAGGGTCATTTGTTTTGAGTAAAATAGTGGGAGCATATTTGATTAAAGACCTAATTAAATATGTTGTTTTAATGATACTTATATTTTCATATTTTTCTTATAGATTACCATGACAACAAACACCTCTAACAATATTTTGCGACCAATCCTTGATAAGAAAAAGTTGTCTTGATAAGGAAAAGTTGTTTGGGACAAAATTTCTGGATTAACACCGAAATCTGAGGATTGTCTTCAAGCATGATAAGAAGTTGTATGTCTTAGAGACACTTGTTCCTGAAGTGGAACCTCTTAGTTCTCCACCTAAGGCAGAAAGAGATGCTTATAAGAAGCATGTCGATGATGCCAATGAAACCACTTGCCTTATGCTAGCTACCATGAACTCAGAGTTGCAAAAGCAACATGAGAACATATCAGCATTCAATATGATCGGACATCTGAAGTTTCTCTATCAAGAGCATGTAAGAAATGAGAGGTTTCAGGTTTCAAAGGTCATTTTTCATAGCAAGTTAGCTTAGGGAACCCCTGTAGGTTCCCATGCACTCAAGATGATTGGGTATGTGGAGAACCTTGAAAGGTTAGGGTTTCCCCTTGAAAAAGAACGTGCAATTGATTTGATCTTGCAATCGTTGCCAAAGAGCTTTAGTCAATTTGTCTTTAATTTCAACATGAATTACATTGACAAAAGTCTTCCAGAGTTGCTAAGCATGTTAAGAACTGTTGAGCAAAATGTGAAGTCAAAAGGGAAGTCCATTTTGATGGTCAGTAATGGAAAGAAGCTGAACAAAAGACCCACCAAGCAGGTTGGTAAAGGGAAAGGCAAGGAAGTTGCCAAACCTAAACCTATTGTACCTGCTTTGAAGCCTAGTGAAGGCATAACAAAAGAAGGTACTTGCTTCCATTGCGGTAAGACCAGACACTGGAAGAGAAACTGCCCAAAGTTCCTGGAAGATAAGAAGAATGGAGTAGAGATTTCAAATTCAGGTATTTTTGTTATAGAAATTAATTTATCTACTTCCACATCATGGGTATTAGATACTGGATGCGGTTCTCACATTTGTACAGATGTGCATGAGCTAAAAAGAAGTAGAGATTTGGCAAAAGGTGAAGTTGACCTACGAGTTGGCAATGGAGCAAAGGTTTCCGCTTTAGCCGTGGGAACTTATGTTTTGACTTTACCTAGTGATTTAATAATTCATTTAGAGAATTGTTATTATGTACCTGCAATTAGCAGGAATATTATTTATGTTTCTTGTTTGGACAAGTTTGATTTTTCATTCATAATAAAGAACAATTGTTGCTCCATTTACTTGAATGATATATTTTATACTTCTGCACAAATGAATAATGGACTTTATGTCCTTGATCTTAAAATTCCAATTTATAACATTAAATACTAAAAGGATTAAACCTAATGAGATAAATCTAAGTTACCTTTGGCATTGTCGCTTAGGCCACATAAATGAGAAATGCATTTCCAAACTCCATAAAGATGGACTCTTGGACTCTTTTGATTATGAATCATATGAGACATGCATATCTTGTTTAATTGGAAAGATGACAAAGTCCCCATTCACAGGAAAAGGTGAAAGGGCTAATTATCTTTTGGCCCTCATACATACTGATGTATGTGGACCACTGGACATACCAGCCAGAGGAGGTTTTCAATACTTCATCACATTTACTGATGATTTCAGTAGATATGGTTATGTATATTTAATGAAACACAAATCTGAAATCTTTGAAAAGTTCAAGGAATTTAAGAATGGAGTACAAAACCAATTAGGCAAGAATATTAAAGTTCTTCGATCAGATCGAGGCGGTGAATATTTAAGTCTAGAGTTTGATGACCATCTAAATGAATGTGGAATTCTAACCCAACTCACTCCTCCAGGAACACCACAATGAAATGATGTATCTGAGAGAAGAAATTGAACCTTGTTAGACATGATCCGATCTATGATGAGTCACGCCGATCTTCCAAACTCCTTTTGGGGACATGCACTATTGAAAACAGCTTACACACTTAACCGTGTTCCATTCAAAAAGGTTGAAAAGACACCATATGAGATATGGAGTGGTAAAAAACCACATATGTCTTATATGAAGATTTGGGATTGTGAAGTTTATATGAAACGACAAATCTCAACTAAGCTTGAGCTCAAATCTGACAAATACTTATTTGTGGGGTATCCTAAAGAAACAAGAGGGTATTACTTATACAATCCTTCTGAGGGCAAAGTGTGTGTCGCTCGAACTGGAGTTTTCTTGGAAAAAGACTTTATTTCCAAAGGAATAAGTGGGAGAAAGGTAGAGCTTGAAGAAATTCAAGAATCACAAAGCATTGATACACCTATAGAGAAATTAGAGCGGGAAACACAAGTAGTTGTGGAAAAGCAACCTGCTCAAGTAGAACAAGACCAACGTAGGTCAAACAAGATATGTCACCAACCTGATAGATATGGATATCTCATAAGTGATCAAGGTGATGTATTACTCATGGATCAAGATGAGCATGTGACCCACCAAGAGACCATAACTGATTCTGAGTCTGAGAAGTGGCTAGAAGCCATGAAATCTGAAATGGATTCCATGTACACAAACCAGGTTTGGACATTGGTAGAATCTCCTATAGGAGTTAATCCTATAAGATGCAAGTGGGTCTTTAAAAAGATGACTGACATGAATGGTAAGGTACATACCTATAAGACAAGATTTGTTGCAAAAGGCTATAAACAAATTCATGGGGTTGACTATGATGAAACCTTTTCACCAGTTGCAATGCTTAAATCTGTTTGAATTTTACTTGCTATCGCTGCATATCATGATTATGAAATATGGCAGATGGATGTAAAGATTGCTTTCCTTAATGAGAATCTTCTTGAGGATGTGTACATAACACAACCGGGAGGATTTGACATACCACATGAAGCCCAAAAGATATGCAAGTTACAACGATCAATCTATGGATTGAAGCAAATATTTGGTTGGGAAAATGCTTTTCTATGAAGGACCTAGGTGAAGCAACCTATATATTAAGAATCAAGACCTATAGAGATAGATCATAAAAATTGCTTAGCCTAAGTCAGAGTACATACATAGACAAAGTGTTGAGACGCTTTAATATGCATAATTCCAAGAAAGGATTCATACCTATGCAATATGGCATATGTTTATAAAAAACACAATTCCCTTCAACTAAGGAAGAAAGGGATCGCATGAATAAGATTCCATATGCATCTGCAATAGAATGTATCATGTATGCCATGTTATATACTCAACCATATGTCTCGTATGCTTTAAATGCAACGAGTAGGTACCAATCTGATCCCGATGATGCTCATTGGATAGCTATCAAGAATATCCTTAAGTACTTGAGAAGGACTAAAGACTCATTTTTGATATATGGAGATCAGGATACACCGATGCTAGCTTCCAGACAGATAAGGATGACTTTAGATAAATAATGATTGGTTGGTAAAATGGCAGGTGAGTGAACCTTTTTGCACTCATAGTGGTCAAATGGAGGAGACTATTTTACATGTTTTGAGAAATTGTACTGTCTTCAATTGTGTGGATACACCTAATTGAACCTCTAAATATTGGATTGAATTTTTCTTGCTACAAGATATCAGTGGATTGAGCTTAAATTGGATGAGATTGCTACAATGTCTCAGACGACGCAATGACATTAGATGAGATGCAATTTAGATGAGATGCAATTTAGATGAGATGCAATAAGGAGTGCATGTCCAAATTCTAAAAAAAGTTCTTTTAAACCTTTAAGGCCAAGTATTGGATCTCGCACAATCCTACAACATGTATGTCACATGATGGAAATTTACATTAGAGTGTGATGGTTGAGTAAAGAGATTCAGTGATGTTCTGGCTTGAGTGGTTGGACAATCTTTTGTCAAAGTAACTTTTCCATCAACAAGAGTAGAGAGAAGGTATTCATTCAACGCCACCATTACTCGCATGCACATCCTCAATGAAGTTTAAACTAATCACTCAACTTGCAAATGTCAACGAACTTCTGTACTGCATTATGGTACTGGGTTCCCTGCATATAGGACAGGCATAGCACGTTCATGTTAAAATATTGGCTAAAGTAGCCCCGTATATCCGCCCATCTAGAATACCATATTTATAATGCAGAGAAGAAATTTATTTATCCCCGTCCCTCTTTTCTAATCAAACAAGTAACTTCAAAATATACAAGGTCAACCATAAACGAGAGGAGATTTGTTTGGCTTACCGAAAGAAAAAATATATATTATTTGGCTTCAATTTAGATTAAGGAGGTGTTTGGAAGAGCTTATTTGAATTTATCATGACATTAACACTTATATAAGATGAAAGATAAGGAAATGGTAAATAGCAGCTTGCAAACAGACTGAACTGGTAAGTATTACCTCCCAATAAAGTTGGTTACAGTCCTTACACTGCCAAAACTCTAAGTTCTTGTTAAATAAGCAACTTGGAATTTTTTGGAAACCCTTTGCAGCTTCAATAGCCTCTTCAGTTGAAAGTGGCTTTTGAATAAACTGTCCATTGCATTTTGTGCATCTTGACATTAGCTGATCCTCGCTAATATTTAGTTGAAAGGTTTCAATAATCTGAAACACACCATAATTTTAGCTTTGTGACACTCTGCCATCAGTTTCTCAAGCAACATATGGTTTAAAAAAATTTATTCACAATGCAAAAATTGAACTAAGGAGGAAAGTAACTTTTTAACTAGAAATCTAAGTAGAAACAAACTGTCCAAACAAAGCAGAGACAAAACTTCCAGGTTAAATACCGATTTAACTTCAAAATCCATGGGCTCAATTCTGGCCCATTATGAGCAGTTTCCACATTCACATTATCCATAAAAGTTCACATTCTAAACCAAGACAAGAGTTCCTTAAAAGATAAATGTGATATACTATTTAACTTTCATAGAAATGTATATTAACAACTTCTTTTTGGTCCAAATATCTAACAGTCTTTCTAATTTCTAAGTAGATTACTAGAGCAAGAGTACCTCAAGTAGCTGTTCATTTTTTAGAAGACCCTTCACTTTATATATTTGATAGTCATGTCTTAGCAACTTTGCATCCCGTGTCAAAAGCACTCTTTTCTCTTTTTGTGCTTGTGTTATTAACTCCCTGAATGTAATGAAAATAATTTCAACCGACAGGAAAAGGAAAATAGAATTAAACCAGCTGCCAGACAAACAATAATGATTCTTACACAAGAATCAACAATTAGAAAGTAACAATACCAGAAGAATACTCAATTACCTTGGTTCAGGCTTCTTTGAATTAGGAACTGCAGCATCTATCCCAACACAGCGTAAATGTTTTGCCAAGCCTTCAACCTGAGTGAAATTCCTTACCAGATTTATGCTCACATTTTAATTTCATAAACACACTACGAAAGAAGCCATTCATTACAATAAAATTGATTTTCTTTTTCTTTTTTTTTTGACAAAGCCTTTTTTTTTTTCCTTTTTGGATAACACATTTCAATAAAATTTCATTACACCGAAATCAAAAATGATGAAAATGAGTCATATATTATGTGCCCAAGAGTGATTGGAACTTAACTATATCTGCAATAAACCTATCTAAGGTTAAAGAAAGGAAGTATCAAATGTTCATAAAAATTGAAAAAAGGAGATTACAAATCATCATAATTAAATTTCAGATGCTTACCATAACATCACAGAGGAACTTTGGATATCCATCTCCCCCAACTAGTGGATCCCAAGGTGCAGTACCTTGCCACTCATCAAAGTTCTCTATATGTTTTTCACTGGAAATCCCATTAATTGGCAACGGTTTTTTTCGTTTCTTTTTTGAGGTCTTCGGCGCTCTGTCCGACTCCTTTAGCAAAATCCTATCACCGTGTTTTTTGACAATTTTCAACAAAAATGCGTCCATTGGCTTAGTATCCCGGCATGATGACTTTTTAATCACTTCCCCTGCTGAAGGCAGCACCTGAACAACACCAGAACAAGTGGCCTGGACAATTGCTAAAGCTTCACAAAATTGTGTACTAAGAACTTTATCACTCGTATCGTGCTTCTTGAAAAGCTCTTTCAACCCAAGATTTGCACTTGAAATAGACAATTGGTTGGTCTTGAGATCTAACTCTCCTGCAGTGAAGAAATGAATGAAATCTGAATCTGATTACCGAAAATTCTATGTATACACATCTAAAGTGAATGTAAAGAGAATATATTAATTTTTAATTTGAAACAATATAGATAGGGAATGAATGAATGTATACCGCAATCAAAAAGTAAGACTATATACATGTATGCTTATATTCAAGTGGGTAAAGTTGAGGAGGAAAGCTGAAGAATGAAAACAGCTGAACAGCTTTGAAGGATTATTGGAACTACATAAGAATCAAATCATATTATAAAGATCAATATTCTATTTGTATCCATTGTCTTTACAAGTGATGCAAAATACTAAGCTGTATAGTTGGCAAACTCTCACAAGAAATCAATTTATCTTTTATCTAATTTTTGTATTTCTCCACTGTTTTATTTTAACAAACAGCTATTGAAATGATTGTTTTGACAATGCGCTTTGTAATAATCTGCTACTAGTGTACAACTAAGATTGTGATTAATCAAGCAAGCCACAAAAGGAAAATTCCAAAGACGCCACACATAAGTTTTATTTCCATTTTTTGACATGGAACTTAAGTGGATTGTGATGCAGCAAAAACACTTAAGTTCCACTTATAAAAATTAACCATCTATCTTTTCTGCGTCACAATAAATTGCTATTTATCTTTTCCCAGTGCCATATTGGTCTATTTCTTCTGATGGGGTTTATGTTCAATATTCAGTGACCAGTCAAATTTATCAATCCATTTTGAAAAATAGAATGTTGACATTGCTGTGAGTGAAACTCCTACACGTAACTTTTAAACTATGGGAAACAAATATCTGATCAATCAATGCAGCAAAGTTTCAAATGTTTAAAGGAAAGAAGTATGTATAACACAATGAGAGGTTTAAAGTTTGCCCAAAGATTGTGGTATGAAACTTTCAGTAAAAACCTTCTTCGGAAACCTTTGCCTGAAAGACCTTAAATATTCCGAGCAAGCAATGAGCATCCATAGCTGCATATGTCATCTGCTCTTCTGTAAGAGGACGTTGTGACCAATCACTACATTGGAGCTCCTAAATCAAATATAAGTTCAGTTAACACTTAATAGTAACTGAAAATGCCAATTGGCTGTCTTAGGAATCTGAAACTCCAAGAGCAAAATACATCCGTGAACGTATAAGAGGTCCCCTTTATGACCTATAATAGATCATAGACATGCTGTGTTTCTAACTTTCTATTAATGTACAATAGTATAAACAGCACTAATATTTCTATTATATTAAGTTCAATCCTATTGTTCCTTTCTAAATCTCAATAAAACATAACAATCTGTAACTTGCAATATTTGGTTCATGATCAAACAAGTATTTTCAAAATCACTTTGCAAAAGCTATGATATTCTGATAGATATAATCCTGCCAATATAGCAATGTGTTTTTATCATATGAAAGAATATAGAAAATTACAATCTAATCACAATATCACATATTGTATGATGGACCTAAGAATTCTAAGTTCAAGCTGAAAACGGCTTCCAACTTCCAAGAGATTAGATTCTCACAGAATTCGCATGTTGGTAACTTTAATATTCATAGGTTGATATATCAATGACAATAATTGAAGAGTCTAGCTACATTTAATAAGCATCAAAATCTATAATTTAAAAAATAAAAAAAAAACTTGTCCAAATACTAATAGAAAACTCATTTGATTAATAGCAGATAATTTCACACAACGATTCATATAGTTTAATCACAAATTTCTGAACATAGTACAAACTCACACACATCCACAAAGTTGAATTGAATGGCTTATTAAACAAACAAACCTTAGATAATGAAACTCCCAACACTTCTCCACAAATAGTTGACAAACTCTTATTTTGCTTCGATACATTTCTTCCATTTTTCTTATTCTGAAGATGATTGTACACACTCGTAATATCCAAATACGGTTCAACCTATCCACAATCCACAGCAAAAACACAATTCATCACAACAAAAAACGCACACATTTAAGCATATTTTTCACCACAAACGGATTCGAATTCTCACCCTATCGAAACCAGGATTGCATCCCTGATCACAGAAAGTGGATGACAAATACACTAAATCTTGCTTGAATCTGAATCCTAGCTTCAAGATATCAGCGGAAACCAGCATTACTCGGAGAGGCTCCCATATCGAAGAGAGAGGAAGAGCGAGAAGGTCGAGAAGAAAAACTACCGAGTCATCACCGAGTTGGCACGCGATTTGGAGTACCGATACAGCGGGAAACGACTTTTGCTGAGTTCGAACAGGTTTCCACTCGGCGTCGAGTCCGATAAGAGAGGTTTGAGTTAGACACCGAGTCAGGTGAGTGAACTCGGGCGAGTCGGTTGCGGTAACTAGGTGGATTTCGAGAGGTTTCTGGTTTTGTGGATCCATTATGAAGAGAAAGAGAAGAACGAAAGTTTGTTAGTAGAAAAAAGGAATTGCTACTTGGCACCGAACACTTACTTTTGCACCCGACTTCCACTCTTTTACAAAAGCCCAATTAAAAACCCAAAGTAACCAGCCCACGAATTAAAAAGGCCCAAACAGAAAATGGCGCCAGTCAAAAATTTCCCGCTAAAAATAAACAAAATAACGCGCGAAAAAGCGTGTAAAATTCTTAATTATTCTTAATTAATTAATTAATCAATTAATCAATTAATAATCAATAATATTAAATAACCCTCTTCCTCTTCTCATTTCTCAGTAAACACTCACGCGCTCATTCTCGAATCCCAAATCTCATGGCTTCGTCTTCCTCTTCCTCACCAACAACAACATTGAGCCGGAGAAGAACACAAGCTCCGATTCCAGCTCCGAAGAAACTCTCTAGCTTCGACGACGTCGTTTGCCAGAAATGCAGCTCCGGCAAATCTCCGACCAAGTTGCTCCTCTGCGACAAATGCGATAAAGGCTATCACATCTTCTGCCTCTCACCTATCCTTGCTAAAGTCCCCAAATCGTCGTGGTTCTGTCCATCTTGCTCCCACACCACTTCCAACAACCCTAAATGTATATTTATTTTCTCAATTATAACCCTAGATTTAGGGTATTTTGATTTTATATTTATTTAGTTAAGTTTTTATTTAATTATTTTTCATTTCTTAGATTTTATTAATGTATTGTTTTGGAAATGCAGCTTTTCCTCTTGTACAGACCAAGATTATTGATTTCTTCAAAATCCAACGGTCTTCTGAAGCAGCTCAGATTCTGAATCAAGGTAAGCTGAGTATTAATCTTATTCAATTGATAACTTAATTGTGATATCGGTGTTTAGAAGTTTTGATTTGGTTTTTGATGAATCTGATTGAAATTTTTGTTTTGATTTTTGGGGTTTTTTAGATTTGAAAAAGAAGAGAAAGAGGGGTAGTGGTTTAGTGGTTTCGAAGAAGAAAAGGAAGCTGTTGGCATTTACTCCGATTGATGATTCTAGGAGGAGGTTAGTGCAGATGGCTTCACTGGCAACTGCGCTGACTGCAACTAAGACGGAGTTTAGTAACAAGCTTACTTATATGCCTGGAATGGCACCAAGGGATGCTAATTCTCCTGCTCTTGAACATGGTGGAATGCAGGTAATTATTGATGTAGTTGTTGAGGTTTGTTATTTAGGGAGCACAAACACAGATACCCTGATACACTTACATGCATATATTGGTTATAGTTTAAGAAAATTGAATGTAATCTCGTATGTATGGTAAATATACTGGACACTTGCACGAAGACATTGGTTATGATTTAAGAAAATTGAATCTAATCTAACGTGTAGGGTAAATATACTGGACATGACTTCAATTTAATTGTTGGGCTGGATAGTTTGTTATGATTTAATTGCTTAATAAGCAAGCATCTCGTTAATTTGGATTATATGGTGAAAGTGTTATGTTCTGTATGAAGATAAAAAAATTAATCTTTGTTTGGATTTCATCTAAAGTAGTTTGGATTTCTGCACACTACAGTGTTTGTCATTATTCGGATGCATTTGATTGTATTTTGCAATCAGGACACTTGTTTATAGCTATCATGTTTTTAAATCTCAATCTTATTCTAGAACTCAAGAATATTTCAGAAAAATTGCTTATTTTTGGCATTACTATTTGATTTTTCCTGCTATTGTTATATGCATTTGTAATTGATGCAAAATTGTATATTTTTTCACAGGTCATGTCAAAAGAAGACATTGAAACCCTTAACTTGTGCAGAAGTATGATGGAAAGAGGAGAATGTCCACCTCTCATGGTTGTTTTTGATCCTGTAGAAGGGTAAGCACTTATGCAACAGAAACTGGCAAAACGTTTTCTCCTTTTGCCCTCTGTTCTTGACTTTTAATTTCTTCTTTTGCAGCTTTACTGTAGAAGCAGACCAATCCATCAAAGATTTGACAATAATAACAGAATATGTTGGAGATGTAGATTTTTTAAAGAATCGGGAATATGATGATGGGGATAGCATTATGACACTTCTTTTTGCTTCTAATCCTTCACAATCGCTGGTCATCTGCCCAGATAAACGCAGCAACATAGCACGATTTGTTAATGGCATCAACAATCACACACCGTATGTTGCATTTCTAAATTTTTTCTCTGCATATGATTAAGGGTATGCAATTGATGATTAATAGTGTTAATAACGGTAGCTGAGTTATATTTACCTCACCCTACTTAACTTAGTCAGTTTATTACAAGTTTTCCTGAAATGAATTTAATACATATATCAGTAATATTCATTGGCTTTTCTATGTAATGCCAAGATGGTTACTTCAACTTGGAGAATATCTTACATTTTTATTTTCAACTGTGTTATTGAAATAACTACTAATGAAGTTTCTTGTTCCCATGCAGTGAAGGAAAAAAGAAGCAAAACTTGAAATGTGTGAGATTTAATGTGGACGGTGAATGTCGGGTCCTTTTAATTGCTATTAGAGATATAGCTAAGGGGGAAAGGCTGTACTATGACTACAATGGATATGAGCATGAATATCCAACTGAACACTTTGTCTAACTATGCAGTTTGTCCATGTTATAGAGCCTACAATAGTAAGGAAATACTAGCTTGAACAGGGAACTGTTAACCCTTTGGCATTGGTAGCTAGAAAAGAACTAAGAATTGGAACTTCAAAATGATTTTTTTGTCCATGTGTTGGGCATGTATGTCATTAGATACCATGTGGACATGTAATGCTTGGATAATTCTTGTAACTTATGATTTTTATCTATCAATTTGTTAGTTGGTTCAACTTGTCCCTTTGGCATTGAAAGCTAGAAAGAACTGAACTTTTAAGTGGTTGTTTTGTCCATTGTGTCATATCAGGAGATACTTTGTTGACATGTAAATGCTTGGGTAATTCCTGTCAACCTCCTATGGCCAAATGAGTATTTTTATCTATAAAACATTTAAGTCTGCAATCTAATTTTGATCTGCAGTGCAAGTATGTGCAGTATGGACACACATTAACTTTTGATGTAAAATGGTTCTATAAGAGTACAAGATTTAAAAGATTGATTATGTTGCCACTGTCAAACATGTCTCCTTAAACATTTTCAATAATTTAATCATATTAGTCAACATTAACTTAGCATTTTTAAATAATTTTTTGGCTTAATTGTAATTTTGATCCTTCTATTTTGTACTTTTTTCGATTTTGGTCGCCATTTTGAAAATCACGATTTTGGTTGCCCTTTTGAATTTTCTATTGAAAAATAAACAAAAATAGAGACTAAAACTGTAGAAAAAAAGCAAAATAGGAGGATGAAAATAGCATGGAAAACTTAATAAAGAGACTAAAATAGTGGTTTTTAAAACGGGGGACTAAAATCGTAGAAAATACAAAATAGAGGGACACAAATTATGATCTAGAGATGGTTGAGGACATTTTAACATCTTTAGAATATTGTTAATTGATTTTGCCACTGTTGCATCCATTTCGATCAGACAATTTGTTTCGCAACGCTGAAATGTATTTCACATAACTCTTAAATCTTCATCCGCCTTCAACTAAAAGTTGTTGAACTTTACATTTCCTTTGTTATCAATCAAGGGTAAACAATACTCTATCTTAATCACCATTCAATTTCCTAGATAAGGCAAGAGATTGTCCAGTTTAAATTTCAGAACATCAAGAGAGGTGTCTTCTGTAACCCTAAATTCAAAAGGAGGATTCACATCGTTGAAGTAAACAAATGAGAGATACAAATATTGAGACTGTTGAACGTGTGACTCCATGCACAATATGGAAACTGAATTGTGGAGGTTTGAATGTAAAAGAGATAAGGGAAGAGAAAATAACACTAAAAACTTATACAGGTTGACTCTTGAAGTGACCTACTCCTCTTCCCAAAAAATAATCTTGATAGTATCTACTAATACTTTAGAGGTTTTAGAAAGTTAAGCCCATGAACCTCCTTATTACAAGGAAATGAAGTTTCATGCTAACTTCCAATCAAACAACAAACTATGGAATGGAGATGTTAGTCTTCACAATGAACAATGAACAAAGCTTTTAGCGGTTACTCTCTAAGTCAAATTGAGATTTTGCACAGGCCGATCTTGAACTAAAATGAAGTTTTGAGTTGGTTATCCTCCAAACCGAGCAGAGGTTTTACACGGGATGACCATAAGCTGCTCCGAGATGTTTACCAAGTTGAACTCAAATCAAGTGACATTTTTAAAAAGGTTAATCTCGAACCAATACATATTTTGATCGGACTGAGCTCAAGAATCGTTGTGATAATTTTTCTCTGGTTATTCTTCACTAAACCAAAAGAGAGTTTGTCTTTAAAGGTGGAGGTCATGAATCAAATAGAGACTTATACTAATCCCTAAAAGAGCTTTTTCACTAGTTTAAATCTAAACCTAAATAATATTTTTCTAAGGAATAATGATTTACTCAAGAGAAAATACTATTCTTGGTAAATTTACAATAAAGCACTCATCTAGAACAAATTTTCCACTAAAATCAAGAATGCTCTCAAAGCACTATGACTAAAATATGTGAGAAAATAGAAATGATTTAGAGAGATTATGAGAGAAAGGAAAAGTGAGGGGTTTTCACATTTTTTGAAAAGTGTTGTTCCTTTTGGATTGACTGCATTTGAAATTCTGACACTTTAAAAACAGATGTTAATACTGATGTTCCACCACCATAATACAATGCTAGGACAGATGTTAAGACATCTGTTTGTTGACAGAAAACACTTCTAAAATAGTAGATTATGCAAAAAGTAAATTGTTGAAAGATAAATGACACAATCAATTGTTAACTCAGTTCAGTGCAACATCACCTACTCTGTGAGCTACCAAGCCAGGAAGGAAATCCACTATAATAGTATTAGTTTAAAGCCTAAACAATCTCAGCTTACAACTTATCAACTAATCACCATCCTATGCAATTTCTGTCTAAGAACCTCCTAGATATGAGAATCCCCTATCACTTCCCACAATCACCTCAGTGATAAAACTAGTCATAAACCAGTGACAATATCTAAAGAATCAAATAGAAGATTACACTTCAAATACAATACTCAACTCTTTGCTTAAAATCTCATGAGTAAGAACAGTAACTTGATACACAATCAACTCTTTGCTTAAAATCTCATGAGTGATTGCCAAGTAAAAATCTCAAAAATAGAAATTCCCTTGAGGACCCTCAAACCCTAGGACTCTAAAAAAAACAAGCTTCCCCTTATTTTTGATAAATTCTTAATGAGACTAAGTCTAGGTAATATCTTTTAATACTCCTCAGTAGTCCATTGGCTTTCAAATCTTCACCCAGATATTTTTTAATCCACGCTGTGATACGGTGGGAGAACTGACTAGAGGTTTTGCGTTTGTTTTCGCAAATGTTTCGGTTGAGCAAGAGTCGCCACCGACTTTTTATTTTATCCTAAGGAAAGGTTAAAAAGCACAACAAAAACCTTTGAGATATTTTCTTGGGTTCAGGGAGTAGATTATAGAAAGGGAATGTATTAGCACCCTTTCTATCCATGGTTATCCATGGGCTCTTAGTTACTTGCTTAGATCAACTTGCCTTAATTTTCAATTGTTTGAAATTGTGCTTTGTGTGTGGTTTTGAAAATGTTTTTTTTTAAAAGATGCATTGTCTAGGCAACCCTTGTAACAATTCTTTACTCGAATGTTTTACAAAAGGTGTTTGTCTTTTTGAAAAGATGTTTCAAGGTTTTTGAAAGTTGTTTTGAAAGTATAATGATGTGTGGTTTGAAAATGTTTTGAAAAAGATGCCTTGTCTAGGCTACCCTTGTAACAATTCTTTACTCGAATGTTTTACAAAAGGTGTTTGTCTTTTTGAAAAGATGTTTCAAGGTTTTTTGAAAGTTGTTTTGAAAGTGTAGTGATGTGTGGTTTGAAAAAAATAGGCAAGTGTTTTTGTTTTGCAAGTTGACAAGTACTTAAGAGGTATCTTCCCTAAAGTTCTCAAAGATTTTTGCTATGTTTTAACCCTTTTAACAATTTTGTTCCACCATTGCATTTGGTGGACAATCTTGTGTTAGGATGTGAACGGGACGGGCGTGGATCATCGTTTAGACCATAATTGCAATGGTGCCAAGTATCTTTGGGCTATTTTTCCTTCAAGGGACTTGATCATTTTTTAGGCAACTTTCGAAAGCGTCATCGAGGGACTATGATCATTTGATTGTTTTATTTTGCCCAAAGAGACCTAACATGCAATATGGCCCATTATTGAAGGCAACAAGTGGAATACCCTAGGGGTGCAAGTGTGATTAGTGTTGTCCATTTTCATGCTTGATTATCTTGAAATTAGGTCAAACTATTTTTGGTTAATTGATTTTGCATACAAACCCTAATTCTAACATGGCATAATTAGAAAGCATTAAAGTGCGAAAAATAAAGTTCCTAAGTTATTACAACACAATATATGGGAAGGGGGGTACAAATGTTCAAATGGGGGTATTTTGACAAGGAATTTAAACCTAGCTATTACATCAAAATTTGAATTATACAAATTATTTAATATACAATAATTAAATAAATATGCAAGATGCAAAAATGTTTTTTATATGTATGAAAAAAATGTTTTTTTTATATGTTAAATAAACAAAATAAAAAGTATTAATTTTTGGAGTTTTTATGCATTTAGGGCAAAAACCCTAATTCATTAAATAAAAGGTATTAATTATTTAATATATATAATATTTATTAGTTATGTACAAAATTTATTAGTTATGTACAAAAATAAAATAAAAATGAAGTATATTTGTAAAAAAAGGTATTTTTAATATTAAATATTAATAAAAATAAAAATGTATTTATTTTGTATTTTTTATCCTAAATATCCTAATAAATATGTAAATATTTATATTATATGATGAATATATTAAATATCTATAAAAATAAATATTTAATATTTACAAAAAAAGGTATACTTTCATAAAATATTTTCAAGAGATAAAATAAAATAAAAATCAAAAAATAAAATGTATTGGTATTAATTTTAGTATTTTTTAATAAAAGTATTTATGTATTATTTATGTACAAAACATCTATTTAAACAAATAAATACCTAATAAATATAAAAATGGTGTGAAAAATATTTTTTATATTTTTAATATTATGAGGAAAAATAAGTAAGTCAGAACAAAAAAGAAAAGGTCAAAAAATCATAAAAATAAACATAATGGGCCAAGGGGGTGCAGAAGTAAACATAGGGTGCAAATAAGAAAAGTGGAACAGGCCCAACCCAAAGACCAGCTTCTTCAACCTCCAGCCATCTCTGTTTGAAAAAACGCGCGCCTCTTTGCTTCCACAACAAGAACCTGATTCTTTGACTTTTAATGAAAACTTACAACACAAAAAATGTAAAGCATTATCTCACGATTTCATACATATAAAGAACATGATCTAACTCTCAGAAATGAGAGAGAATTTCTTCTCCCCCAATTCCTGACCTAAATTTTGTTCAATGTTCAGACTCAAAATTCTCTATGTACACATAACATAAATGAAAACTAATTATATGGGCATGT